TATATATATATATATTGGGGGCTTTTATTGCTTTTAATCGATAGTGACAGCTGAAGAGTGACAGGAAAGGTGGAAGAGAGAGAGGGGATGACACGTAGCAAAGGGCCACAGGTCAGATTTAAACCCTGGGCCACAGCAGCAAGGACTCAGTCTTGGTACATGGGGCATTAGAGGTGAGAATGTGTTGATATTCTTTTATTTAGTTTAGCTTTGTTTTGTCTAGTGTGCCCTGTATTTGCTTCGAGTAGTTTTAAAATATGACAGTTAGGTAAAATGGAGACTACCAGAATGTAAATGTGATATTTTTTGCCTTTCTGCTTCAGTATTTCCAACCTCTGCCAGCTGGTAAATGAATTAGTGGCAAAAGAAAATGAATGCTTTCTTTGTATCGTGCTAACCTTTGGGCTCCAGGTTGATGTCTTGATATGGGAAAACCTTAGAGTTGTACATGAGTTCCCACATTATGATGGCAAAGCTGTAGATGTCACCTTTGGGTGTTCCATTCACCGGGAGGCCGACTTGTCTCAGAAGCTCGGGGGCTGTCCAGTACATGTCTACAACACGAAGGAACGGTTTAAATCACTTTAATCATTATATGCAAATATGCAATGTTTAATATGACATTATTAAATACTTCAATTTCACCCACTGACCCTCATAATTTGGGTTGTCCTGTGGGATGATCTTGTTTTTGTTCCCATATTTAAACTCCCACAGTCCAAAGCCAGACAGTTTGATCTGGAGTCGACTATCCACCAGACATGTGCTGGGCTTCAGGTTCCCATGAAATCTCAGGTTACTTTTATGAATGAACTCCATTCCCTAAAACACAAATTAACAGGTTGAAATCATGAATTGGCCATTGCCAAGTAAAAGAAAAAAACAACCTCAACTATAATATAAGTTTGTGTCTGTTTTAGGTCTCTAAAACCAATTTTCAAAGTTTTACACAGGGTCAACATAAAGCTTTATTCTCTGAATTAAAGGTACATTCAGGGCCACATTGTAGCTACCATTGACGTCTCTGAGGTCTTTTTTTGAGAGGAGTTTATATCTATTGATTTGACTAATTTGAAGATATTAAAATATGACTACATTTTCACCAACGAAAAATTTACTAGAAATGTATTCCTGGCAGAGTGAGGATTGGCTCTGTATTTTTTATTTATGAGTATTTACTCATTATTTCAAAACACTCCTGGCAATGGCCTTGGGAACTTTCCCTCCAGTAAATCACTGCAATAACTAGAACATGATGCATAAATGAACTGACTCACATTGACAATGTCATAAGCAAAGGAGAGCTTAAACATCCCGTCCAGCTCGACATCTGAAGCCTTCAGAAGATCCTGCAGGAGGGAAGAAAGAGAGCAAAGAGTGAATATTTTGAAGTTCAATATCTAATTTTTTGACCCAGTTTGGGTCAATGCAGCACCGATGCGACACTGGCTTAACTTAATTTAATTGGGAACTAATGGGTTGTTTTGACCCATGTTTTTGTTATTTTCTATGTTACTGTTGTTGTTTTTTTGACCCAGTGTTTTACCTGTAAGGATATAATACGCATTAACAATAAGGGTAACAAATAGTGACATGTAAGTTTAAAAAAGAGCTGGAGTATATTAGAACTGGTTCAAACTATTTTAGTTTAGTTAAAATAACCCAACAGTAATATACCAATAACCCAATCCCTTGTTTTAGGTGGTTTTCTATCCCATGGGTGAAGTTAACCTTGTATTACCTCGATGCTATATTCGCCCAAATTGGGTAGAGTGGGGTGAAGTAACAATATATATCTACAGCGCAAACAAGCATTAGATTGCAGTTTTACAGGGATGCTTTACAGTATGAAGTTAAAGTGTGTGTATATACAGTACAGGCTGAGACACTGACCTTCAGACTGCCTTTCCTGCAGTACTGGATCACCAAACAGACATTCGGTGGCTCGATGCAAACACCAAAGAACTGCACCAAGTTCTCATGTTTCATCTCTCTCATCTGTCTTAGAGAGTTTAAGATGGTTAGGCACACAATAAAATACGTTCAAAAATAAATTATTAACAAATATGTCTTAAATAATAATATCTTTGTTACAAGGGTAGAATAAGATTTGCACCATTATTTTATTATTTTATATATAAGATTATTCTTATATGACGTCATGTTAACATTATATATGACTTTGTTTTTAGTTAGATATACCAGCAGGTTTTTTATTACTTCCATTATATTCCATTCCATTTGTATTAGAATATATACAAAAAGCAGATAACCAAAAGAAATTTGAAAAAGAAAGTTGGTCTAGAACAACATGAGGTACTTTACCACATTGAACTCTGCAATTATTGAAGGTTTCTGGTAATTACTGCTAACATTCTTGATGTACTTGATGGCAACTTGATTTCCCTGTATGGAATAAAAAAAAAAACCATTACAGAAAACCACATATTCTGGCACATAGAAACAAACTCTCAGAAACAAATAAAAAAGTAAATTCCATAAGCAATAAAACACATACTTGCTCAGTTCAGTTCAAGTCAGGTTTTTGTTTTACTGACCTTAGTCTGTTACGACCATTAGCTTGGTGGTCTAATGTTAGTTAATATTAGCAAACTGGCTAGAATTTGCTGTAGGTTTGACAATAATGACTCAGTTTGCTGACTTCATTAGACCTTTTCCACTATAGGAACTTAACGACACGTTACCTGAACCTCCTGTTAGGGCTTGGTTCTAGGTTCTACCTTGTTTTTGCACTTAGATTTACAAACCAAAACGTTTCACGAATGGGCTACATCATTAAAAAGGCGACGGCAGCACCGACATCATAGGTCTTCTGCACTTCTTTGGTGTGCGAGTACGTAGAGGGTGACTTTAAAACGTCAGTATCACAGAAAAAAAAATACAGATGTTGGTTGCACGGCTTGGAATTTTTAACAAACTCCCCAACACTCAACAAACAATAAGCAGTTGATACAGACAAAGCAGAGGACCTGAACTTAGATTTAGCACCCTCTCCTGTACAATTTAGCTTCAGGATCTTGCCACTAAAGTTACAGGATATTAAGTTCCTATAGGGAAAAGGCCTTTAAGACTCTACTTTTACTATTAATCTGTAATTGCCACTTGTGGCCACTAGGAAAGTTACACACACTCACTTTAATCTCTGAATAAAACTAGTACCTGGTAGAGACCTATGGTGGTATAGATGTGTTCTTTTCCTGCCTTGTCTCTCAGGCCATAGCTGTTGTTGGAGAAATTGGACTGAGAGCCGCCGCTCCCACTCTGACTAGCTGTGGTGGTTAGAGATAAACCCTGAGTTCCCTGGAGGAGACACAAGCACACCAAATAAGCCTGTAAACACAAAACCAGGCAAGCAAACACACACATACTGTACATATACAGACACTCAACAGCGCGTGTGTTAGTGCTCATACTGAGGACTCCCTGATGATGGTGATGTCGCTGTAGGTGATCAGCCACCAGCAGGAGTCACCAAGTCGCGTCTGGAGTCGAAACTTCTGCAGAATGAGGACACCGATGCACAAAACTGCTAGCACACCGATGACAGGGAAGGTCACAAGTAGAGCCAGCAGTGCGATTTCTGTGTCCCATCAAGACAATAAATGATGAAGGTGGTTAGCTTAGCCTGAGCGTCAGGTTTATAAAATCATGTTTTATTAGTGGTCTAAAAAAAAAACTGAAACAATTGGTGTATTTACTGGTTGCATAAGGGCTATTTTGCAAGTCACTTTTGTCAACTGTTCCTTTACCATTAACCAGCCATTCACATTGTTCATTGTTGAAACCACATTCTGGTTTATCAGAAGGTGGTCTTCCTTTCGGCCAGACCACAGAAGCAAACATAGATGTTGGCCTGAAAAACAAAACAAAGATTAAAAAAAAACTGTGTGATTTCCCAAAATGTGTTTATCAAAAAATGCTGGATTTATTTTTTGACTATAAAAGAGCTTTATTACCGGACAGCTTTGGTGTGGCTGTCAAAATGGAGGATGGGTACAAACTTGGTGATGTCTCCTGTATGCTGCAGGTCATAAATAGAATAGTCCAGGTTTCTCTCCCCCTCTTTGTCAAAGTGGACAAGTCCAGACGCACCTGCAGTGATACAGAAAACTATTACTAATACTACTACTACTTAATACTAATACTATATTACTACTACATCAAACGGTCTCTGAAGATGATTTGCCAGTTTTTTTAAAACATAATGCCAACTGAATTATGTTTTCTGTTAGTATAATGAGTAAAATATGCAAAAATGTTGATACTAGTACTAAATAACTAAACAGATGTTGCTGTTAAAATTCTTAAATATATTTTTTCAGTGCTGAGAGCTGCAAACAGAATTCTGTCCACCTCAAGATTATTGGGGGGGATGCAAAAATCTCAGAAACCTCAAAACCTGGGGAAATAAAATCAAATTGCATGACTAGATACCACTATAAATTGACAATTTAATGCATATTTAGCTGTTTGCACAAATAATTACTTTAAAAAATAGCTTTCAGCTAACTTATTTTGAGATAAATCGAGATTTTTTTTTTTTAAATAAATACATAAACTGACTTCAGCTTTTAAACTAAGTATGTTAATGGTTGTGTTTTGTGACCAAATATGATGTAATTATGTAAAGAGAATGTCAGAGACTGTATGTGATATGATGTTTGGCTAGCAGTTGGTATGAGTGCAAAAGAAGTACCAAACCATTAGCTGCTTCTGAACAGATGTTCTGTAATTTCCTCTTAAAAAGCCTCACGAACACACAATAACTACAAATTGCATAATTGCACTGTACAGACCCCTACAATAATAACCATTAGCAGCAGCTACCAACCATAAAACCGAATGTCGTTTTTATTTTTTAATCTCCGTATCAGCTGCCGTCCATCATTAGGGTCTTTTCCATCTTTGAGGACTTCCTTCAGTCCCATCGCATAAAGAAGCACTGCATCATGCAGATAGGCAGAGTAAGGGCTGATCTAAAAAAAGAGAAGTAAAATAATTGTATCTGTAATTTTCCATTTTAGCGGAATGAATAATATATTTTTAACATGATATTCAGTTCATATAACAAGTTCTCACCTCTCTTTCAGATGTCAGGTTGCTCCGGAATGGGTGCCCTTTTAGTCTTTCAAAAACTTGCTCAAAGAAGTCATAGTACTCATAGCCTTCGTATGATTTCTGGCCAATGATAAAGACCATGTCAAAAGCTCTTATGGCGCCTTGGTTAATCCTGTTCTTCAGGGAATATTTCCACAAGTTATCCTGCTCAGAAAAAAGATGCACATGAAAAACAACTTTAGTGAAGAGGTTATAAATTTGATCATTTGATAAGAAAGACTGAAGAGGATGATGGCAACTTAAGGCTTGACATGTACTGTACAGTAAGTGAAGCTGTCTTATTATCTAAAGTAGTCAGATTTTGAAAATGTTTCCTTCATCATACTCACAATAGGGCTAAATAGCTCTACACCGCAATACAATAAAAATTCTGTTTCTTTATTTTCATGGATTAACTGGTGAGGATGTTGACTTTTTGCCTGTGACGTGAAGCTTTAGCCTCAGACTGTTACACCTTTTTAAAAATGAGTCAGCTGTAGCTCATTTCAGCTGACAAAATCAACTGTTGCAAGCTAGAAATGTAGAGCCTGTTTCTGTCAGCCTCTGAAATCAATGGACCCGATGTTTCCAAACCTTATCCAGAGTATGGATTTTTAACTCGGCTGAATATCAGTGTTGATGTGTATTAAAGGTTCTACTCACCACACTGCCACTGACCTCAAAATGCTGCACCAGGAAGAACACATAGTCACCATTCATCAGACCCTGTCGCTCGGCCTCCAGCAAAAGAGCCATAGAGTCCTCTTTGTTTGTTAGCACCACAATTACTGGAAGATAACAGAAAACAATTGGTTATATGTGGTTTTAAAGAGCTAAAAAAGTCTGAGTTTGCCACAAAGTTGCTCATACTTTCCTTACCTCTGGCGACTGTTGCGATGTACTTAATATTTCGATAAACAAGCTGAGGATTGCTGGTATCAAACTTGACAGATGCAGCCAGTTTGAATTTCTCTCTCAGCGGATTCTCGACGGTTTTCCACAAAGCGTCAACTTTGTCCCAAGTGTTTGACTCTAATCCCCCTCCAATCATCGCTACATGATTCCACCCGAAGAACTTCAAGGTCTTCACCAGGACCTCCGAGCTTCTCTTAAGAGGGGGCACAATTTTGATGTAGGAATCATAGATATCACTGTTGTCCATTTTGGAGGATTGTCCCACAAAGCCGAACATGGGGATGTTCCATGCGGATGAAATTAGACCAGTGACCTGGAAGGGGTGACCAGGTTTAGTTTAATTCCTCCGAAAAGAGAAAAATGGTGGAAGACAATTCCCCATACATGCACAGCAAATTCTAGCACTGTAGGCAGTTGTTTGTTTAAGGAATTACAAGTTTGATCCTTGCAAATTCAAGAAAATGATCAAATCTGATATATTTAGTCTTTTGAGAACAGTGATAAGATGTTCCTATCCTAAATGCTAATGCATGATTACAATGTTAACCTTAAGAGGATCAATTATTGTAGAAGCTGCTTGTTTAACAAGTTTAGCAATAAATATGAAAATATAATGCAATAACACCATAAAACTATTTCCAGCATAGAATGTTAAACATGTTTCTTACATTTTAGATGTGAATCTAACACAAGATACCTGTTGGATACACCTTCTAGCAATGACAAGCCTAAATTCCAACTTCTAAGGCAACAAACTCTATCATTATGAAATTTTTTTGATATGATCAAAAGCTCCAGAACAGCTACTAAATGGACTTTGTGGTCAACATATTGATTTTGTTTTTTTGTGTTATAGTTGACATCTAAATACACATAATACTTGTTATTGAGTAGATCAAAGGATTCATGTGCAAACAAACTCAGCAACTAGTCTGTCACAAAATAGTTTTATAGAAACAAAAACTATTATTTATTATAAAGATAATTAAATATTATCTTGAATTTCCCTCGGGATAAATAAAGTATCTGTCTATCTAAATATGACTTTGATTCTACTATTTTATTAATCAGAAAAGCTTAATAAATATCTTATGGATCATTGAAATATTGCATTTATCTTTTACACTCCTTCAGTTCTTCATGAGTTTTCAAACAGAGCTGCTATAATATCAGTGCTTTAGCCTATCCTACTGACATAATAATAGAAACACCTGTCTGTAGAACGCCATACAATTCAACAGCACCACAAACTTGTCATAGTTAAATCAATACCTCTCTGAAAGAGTTTAAGCAAAAACCGATCATTATCACCTTTAAGACGGTTATATTACGTTAGACTGCATTATAGCTAAGTGTACAAAATGAAGTCACAATTGAATGATCTGGTGAAACCACAGTATTTCTTTTGCATGATTTATGATCTAAAACAGCATGGTTTGATAACACATGTTTACCATTTAACAGTCTTAGCTAGATGTACCTAATAAACTGGCAACTAAGAACTGAGTGTACAGTGTATCAGTGTCCACCTGCACCATGGGATATTCTTGTAGGTCATTTACAGTGGTGGGAAGTAACAAAGTATGAATACTTGTTACTGTGCTTATAGCTTTTTAGTTGTGTCAGGTATCTGTACTTAACTTAGGTATTTACTTTCCTGACAACTTATATATGTATATATATTTATATATTAAAGTCGAACCCATAACTGCTGCAGCAACGACTCAAGTATATGTGGCACCAGCTCTACCGGGTGAGCTATCGGGACGCTTCGTTACTCTCTACGTTTTTACAGAAATACATTTTAAAAACAGGCTTTTTTACTTTAGTTTGAAGTAATTTCAGAGAAATAATCGATTATTATTTGTTTTTGCATCGTTGCATGCCATCTCAATATCAACATGGGCATATCATGCAGGACGCATCGAGAATATGACGTAAAAGACATAACAGACAAGAGAGGGAGACTCAACCCTGTTTGAGGTTTTAATTAGCTTTGCACAGAAACAGCCGGTAGAAATTAGTATTTTTATGCTTTGAGTACATCTCAGAGCCTGTACTATTTTCAGTATATGTACTTCTACATAAGTAAAGAATGTGTGTACTTTGTCCATCTTTGGTCATTTATGTCATTTATATATAAACTGAGAAGAGAAGAGACAGAAACCTGTGTGAAACCTTACTCTCTAAAAAATAGTTGACAAAAAACAATGCACAAAGTATCTATTTCCACGTCACGTCACATGAATCATACCTCAGCTTCTTCAGGGCACGCTGGACCAAATAGTGCAGACACATTTTCTTTCCACACCTGGTGAATGAATCCTCCCAGGGAAACTTTGGGATTACAGTCTGTATCCATGTACACAAAATCCAGACTGTAGTTCCCCAGGAAGGAGGGATTGGTGTTGACCTTCTCCACAGCTATCTGCAGGGCTGAGCCCAGCCGCAGGGCACTGAAGGGGAAGGATATATTCCAGGGAGCCTGGAAGCCAATAATCAGCTTGTGAGGTTGAGACCCATTGGTGCTGTTATTAATGACAGTGGCAACAGTAAGCACAAGTGTGAAGTGAAGCACCAATATGTGCCTCATTCCAGGAGAATATACCGCCCTCGACATCACTCTCATCCTATTAGTTGCTTCAGGTTACAGGGCTTAAATACCCAACTTCCCTGGTGATGCTGGGTAGTTGGTTAGGGAGGAGAAAA